GAAACTTTATAAGATCGCATTTGAAACACAATACAAATACAAATGAAATAATGTTTACGTATCACCAGAAATGTGAAATTAATGACGTGAGAGATGCATTAAAAAACATTTCAGTAATTTTGAATAAAAACAAAAGAGTGAAGCAAAATAGCGTTTATGTCACTTTATTCAGTGCACCTAGCACTATCCGTATAAAAAGTTTCAGCTGCCATCATCGACGCCCAAACTACATCTTTTCACATTTTCTCAATTTTTCGATTCCCGAAAGGTAAAACTGAAACATGACTTCAAGAATGTTATAGACGAGTAAAACCTCTTCCTAAGTGGAAATTTTAGTGGACAAATTTGGAAGGTATTGATAAAGAGTCATCGGTTGAAGTGGTTCAGGAAGAACTAGGGTTTAAGTTCCGACGGAAGCAGGATTTTCGACACTACCAACACAGCTAGGTCGAATTCAGTCGCTGTCATGAGAATTCTAGCAACCGGTTTCTCTGAACGATAGTTTTCCGGGGTTTCCACAATCAACACCAAGGGAGCAGAACCCTAACAAACAGGCCACGGACCGCGCGCGATCTGTCCCTTCCCCTTCTTTTTCCTATCCTCACCGCTTACTTACACTCATACTTACCTGCACTACACTGCCACATATGCCAGGAGGCCTGTCAGAAGCTTAAAACTTATCTCTGCTGGTGGGTTCCCCGCTGGTGGGAGGTACTTGGCTGGGTTTAACCCCGCTATCCGAAGGGGAAGGTCACCGCAACCTCCCGAGGGAAATACATGTACTACCCTTATGGCACTAATTACCCCAGCAGTTGAATCATTAATCTATTCCGGAGTCATTAATCAATCAATAAATTAAGAAAATTTTCAAACGTCATTGAAAATGAGAAATTTGAAGCTCTTTTTAAGAAAAAACTTTTCAGTTTTCAAGAAACTTCATTTGAAATCATCTAAAGCACTTCTACTCACAAAATTCAATAACGTTTGTAATGTAAATATTAACAGCTTAAAATATATTTCAAAAAATTACATTTCTGTAATTAAAGAAAAACAACGCATCAAAGTGGCATTTGAGTCATGTTATTCAGCACAAAACGTTCAAAAATCTTTTTTTTTTTTAAATTGGAGCAGTTTTCGAGAAAATGGCGTTTAGGATTTCTGAATTTACGGAAATTCGAGTTCATTTTACAGAAAACATTTGTGTTTTCGAAAAACTTTATAAGATACCATTTGAAGCACTGGTACTAACAAATTCAATAATGTATACAATCCCCCGTTAACACTTTATCACCCAACGCAATTTTGTGCGCGCAGCCATTATTGGGACTGTATTAAATAAAAAAGAATCGTAAATATATCTTCAAAATTGGAAAAGTTATGATGTTTCAAGTCTGGCCAAACAAGAGAAAAACTAACTTTGGTGAAAAGCCAGATTAAGACCAATTAGCTCTGAAATTGTATGAAAACACTAAATCTCTAAATACAAGAAAGAATTTGTTCAAAACGGGTATTCTGCTTTTAATGTGATAAGATAAGAACTTTACATTAGTTTAAATTGCATTTTCAAAATTTCTCATAAAATAATCTAATGTTCTTTCATTTTTAGCGAACATGACCACCTGAGCAGCAAATGGTCATGGGATGTAAAATTAGAAGAGTTATGATGATTCGAGACGCGCCAAACAAGAGAAAAGGTCACTTTAGAGAAAAAACAGATTATGATTCATTAGCTCTTAAATGGTCTGTGAATCCCTGACTACAAGGAAGAATTTGTTACGAAAATTGAGGTGTTTTTTTTAGGTACTTTTTTTTAGACAGACGCGTACTGTAATGTTCACATTAGCGACTTGAGAAAGATTTGCAAAAGTATACGTTTTGTAATTTTTGAAAAAAAAATACTAAAACACTGAAAAATCCATTGATGACAAAATGCTAGCGCCTAAACCGTTCTGCCAATTTTCTCCAATATTGATACTCCCCGATCGATCTAAACGATCTCGAGGCTTTGGGAGTTTCAAAGGGATATTTTGATTTGTGAATGTTGAATGAAGCCTCAAAAACATTTTCAAAATTGTCTCAAAAATTCCTCCAGTTCTTTTATTTAACTTTGTCCTTAGGTAACATAAAGAACGCTTAAAAGAATGGTGCATGTCTCATGTTCGTTGAAATACCTGATTTTTCGAAAACCGCAAAAGTGTCTTCCTACAACCACAATATTGAAGGCAAAGATTTTTTTTTTCCTTAATGAAATCTGTTCTTTAAAGATAAATCTTGAAATAAGGTCATGTGAAATTTTCCGAAAACATGCGTAGTTTTCTTGTAATTTTGCACAAAATATGGGTAATTAATTCAATTGAAATAATTTGTCTCAAAAACTGAACCAATTTTTCTCTTTAAATGTTCTCCTCGTATGTGTCAAGGGACGGTAAAAATTATGGCGCAAGTCCCATTTTTGGGGGAAATTTCCGTATTTTCGAAAATTACATAGAGTTGACATTTGAAAACCACAAAATTGAAGATGGAGATGTTTGCCTTAGACCAGTACTTGCTAACTCAATGCTCTGTGACGTCACATAAACCCGCTCCCCTGCTTCGAGCCGAGCGGCGGAGCCAAGAAACGGCTCTCAACTCTCTCGGCAACGAAACTCAGTGTTCCCATGAAGGAAGAGGGGGGGAAGGTTCACTTGGAAAACTGATAATTATGTTTATTAAATGGTAATTATTATTTAGAATGTTTATGATTCAACAACAATACGGGGAATATATAATATAACATACATTATTAAATAACTCAAAGCAATATAAGACTCTTTATCATAACCAGTACTGCAATTACACTTCATTAGATAACTTTTTTGGAAAAGAGTTTTAACATTTTAGGACAATAATAGTTTATACAATAGTATACAGTGTTAGGAATTACTTCGTTCTAAAACAATATTTAATGATAAAAAATATATAACAAATATGTACCCGGTAGGGGTCACGGGCGAGAATTTGGACCACAGGCTTGATTATTTCTGATACACAGTTTTATTTGAGAATGTAATAAATCCTCGTGATTTTTAGTACCTTTTCCATAATCTTCAATTTGCAAATTCCTTTGCTCATCCCATGATTGCGGGTTACCTACCAATTCATAAAATGTATGTTTATCTCGCAGGTTTCTCTGGGTCGCAAAGCTACGTAATGCATATGTAGGTTGGACTTTTAGGCAGTTCTTTCGAACACACTAAACACTTCGCCATTGTTCCAGTATCTACCAAAGGAAACCTTTCTTCCCAAACCGAAAGAAAATTAACGGGTGTTCATGGTCTCCCACTCATGTTCCCTGAAACATCAGCAAAGGCCCACTGCCAAGTTTTTCGTAATCGGCGACCGCCTACTGCCCCCCCCCCCTCCCTCTTCACTTTGCACGCACTGCTTTTTCCGAGTACCTGCTCTTGAAGGGGAATTCGGCTTTGACGTCATTTCTCCTTCAGTTGGCAAACGCTGCCTTAGATAAGGTCTTTTGTAACAAATCAGCACTTTAAAAATGGTCATGTACAATTCTATGTAGACAGATTAATTTTGGACAAATTCTTTCTTGTAGTTTAGGCTTTTCTCTATGGCTTTGAATAATGAATTTGACCTTTACTTTTTTTCCTGTTTGTTTTTATTTAATACCAGAAAGCCAATGCTTGTGCCTAACCACAAATTGTTATAGAAAATGCATTTTACCAATAATAAATTGTTCTGTTAATCGATATTGTTGCCAGTGATTTTTCTTCTTCTCCTTCTCCACTTGGAAGGATAGGTCTATGACCTGTTCCGGCTTCTAAAAATTCCATCTTTTTAGGGGTCTTCCTGGATCTCTTTTGCCTTGAGGCCTATGCTTAAACACCTGCTTTGGAATGCGAGAGATTTTTAAAAGTTCTAATTCAAATCCCAGTAAAGTACACGCAAGAAGAACAAGAAAATAAATATTAAAAAATCCATTTTTTTCAAAAACGGTTTCATTTTTTTAAATTTATATAGTGATAGTGCTAAATGCTCTGTAAAATAATACAAATGTGCCATTTTGTAATATTCTTTTGTTTGCTTTTCAAAAATAACATAAATGTATTTTTTTTAAATCCCTGTCACGTTGTTATTATTTACATCAACGGCGAATTGTATACATCGTATTTGTTAGAACAAGTGTATCAAATGATACCTTGAGAACCCATAAAACATGGATTCTGGCAATACCTCGTGTTAGAGGAAGTAATTTACTATAAATAGGAATATCCACTTTTTCGTTACAAGGGCTCGGCAGAGTTTTTCTGCCGAAAATTCGTTTTCCGGCTCCCAACCCGTTTGTTGCAGTTCACTACAGCACGCAATTTAGTTTTCGTGAAAATACAATTTTATTTTACAAAAAAAAACAACATTAACTTCGAGAAAGAGTACCTACACAAAACAAACACATTAAAAATCATTATAGACAGAGGAAACCTTCCAATCAAGATTGATTCCACGAAGTAAATAAATCAACACATGTAACATACTCTAACCATTAACTCGATTCTTCCACCATGATACTTGGACACCCAGAGGTGGTAATGCTGCCATCACATTTCAAAGTCACGTTTTCTGCACATCTCTAGTGTTTGTTTGAGGACTTCAAATAATCATCCAACTTTTCTCGCTTCAAAACAGAAATCCACTATCGTTGTATTATTTCTTAAAGTTCTATAAATTTGCTTTCCAGATTTCTGTGCACAGTAGGGAATCAAAAACGCTTACTCTGGCTCTCCCCACTCCCTTTTACCACAGTCCACTACCCTTCACAACTTGATTATTGAGAGTACAACTTCATTTTAGAGAAAAAATATAATTTCACAGCGAGAAAGTGTACCTACACAATACAAAAAGTCTTTAAACCATTGTAGTCGGAGTAAAAACTCCAACAAAGAATGATCTCTACTAAAATAAAATCGGCACATAAACGGAATTTTAACCAATAGTTCGCGGCATCCAGATCCAGAATCTACCACTACTGGTAGAGATGGTGTGCCCTCAGAAGCTCTATAAAAGTCACTTGTTCTGGACATCTACATAGCATCAGAAAATCGTTCCTCCGGCTAGATTTTATAAATTATTTATATACATATTCTGAAATTCGTTTCTCACACCGTACTAATATTTGATTTATTTCACTGTTGTGCAATATGCTTCCAAGGGACATTCCGTCTACGTATGAAGTATTAAATAAAAATCTTTATAAATTAGGGTTATTTCATTTTTAAGGTAAAAGTAATTTTAACTGTTGGCAAAACTGTCATTCGTATCTCGTGAATGCGAAGCGCAGGGCCGGCTTGTTTATGGCGCGTGGTGCGTGAGAAAGTGTAAATTTAGTTGTGTGGGACGGTCTTGCACGCATTCTGAATGTGTAGTTGTATGTAATTTTCCCCCCTTAAATTGATTTTCTATTCTACTTTCCCCCTCAACCATAGATGTATCATCTGCTTCAATCCTTGTGATAACGACGATTTTCGGAGTGGTGATTGTTTGGAAGTGATTAAAGTTTCTTCGATAAATATATTTTTCTAATTATGAAGCTCGTACGGTAAGTTGCCCTCATTTTTATGGATATTATTAATCCGTGAATTCCCTCCCAACAATGTTGTATAAATTTTAAACTGTAATTTTGTAATGGGTTATCAACTTCCCTTTTGTGTTTTTAGCTTTCTCATGAAATTAAGTCACGAAACCGTGACAATTGAATTGAAAAATGGAACTCAGGTACATGGAACAATAACAGGTAAGTGTTTTTAATGTATGTTTTTTCTTAATTTTTGTTTGGTTATAGTAACTTGCACCTTACAGTGTTAAAAGTGAGGTATGTATAGCATATTAGAAATCACTCGGTTAACTTTACTTTACAGACCTAGTATAGTTTTCTTTCTTTTGGGAACACTAGCATTTTTTTGTTTACTAAACATGCACATATTCATAGAACAAGTTAACTTAATTAGTTTTACATTTTGATAAGAAAAACAAGAATAAGACATTTAAGTTGTTGAAATGTACTAAAAATCCTTCCACAATTTCTAGGTCTCCCCAGACTGCTACAGTAAATGAAGATACTATTTTTGTTCTAGGGTACCATTTCCAATACGGAAAACTTGTTAGTCATTTGAGAGGTCGTATTAAAACAATTGAATACAAAGCGTACTAATTACGAATTTTATACATAATGGATGTTTGACAATTTTGTAACAAAATCTTATTTGAAGAGTAATGTGAGAGCTTCAATTTGAATTTGATGGATAAATATGAAAATTACTTGTAAACTAGTTTATCATTATTAATTCTCTCTTGGGTGCACTGTATCTCTGATTCTCATTGGATTGTAAATTTCCTTGGAAGTGATAGATTTGGTGTCAAGTTTCACAATACTTTTGTCCCTTTTCCCTTAATCTCAGTGCAATCTTTGTAGCCAAGAGATTCAGTGCGATACTTAGTGTTACAGAAGAAACTTTGACAGAATGAGCATTGATGAATTTAGATATGAAATGAACAAGTCACTCAACTTTGTGTTATTTGATCCATACTATTAAACAGCATTACTGTAATAAAAAATATGAGTGACAAAATATTTGTGCATAAAATGTGGAATATTTGTTTTGTACATGTTTGTGTAATTAGAATCACATGTATAAGAGAGAGAGCAAACCGAGATTTTTATGTTCTTGTACTAGCCATAAAAGTATTTCTGAAAGGTAAAGAGTAAAGGAAGTAAACATATTGTCGTTTACAGAAAAGGGTGTTTTATTCTAACAAATGCAATTGAGTTGTGTGTGAGAGATACAGCTCAATCATTCATGTTCGTTTTACAGATGTGATAAATGGAGGGTTAAGTGTTCAGGTCTTAGTTCCATGGAGTATTGTATTCGTGCAATTAAAAAATTTAATCTTTTCATTCCACCCCAGAATTAGTACAGCATTACATCCATAAGTTTGATTTGTAACAGAAAATGTTGAGTAAAAACAGTTTAGTAACAATATGAAAATGCATCATTTATGAAATTTTTATTTTGTGATTATTTAATTACTCAAAACAATGACTTAAACAATGTGACACGTGGTCCAATCTAGCATAAGCTTGCTGCTGCCCTCAGAATTCCAAAACATGTATTTCTATATTCGTGTTGTTGTGTTCACTAATGAGAGAAGAGGGAATTCTTTGGAAGACATGCCAGTTACTGGAGCAGTCTGGTATCCTAATTTGGGTGGGAAATAGGCAGTTCATTTGAACACTTTACTTGGAACAAAGAATATGTTGCAAAAATTTTCTCTAAAGTTATAAACATGGCATTACAGAATATTCTGTTCTGTAATAATTGATTTTTGTTTATTGAGATTACAAGCAAAATCTTTTAGTTTAATACTATCTGAATTTTTCTTTTTTTAGTCCTTAGTGGGTATAAAAACTAAGCTAATGCTACATTTACATAGCATCTTTATTTGCGTTTCCAATGTTTGTTTAATAATTATTAACTATTGAATTTGTTTTAGGTGTTGATGTTGCAATGAATACACATTTGAAGGCTGTCAAGATGACTGTGAAAAATAGAGATCCTGTGCAGTTAGAAACTTTGAGTATTCGTGGCAATAACATTCGTTATTATATACTTCCGGATTCATTACCTTTGGAAACTCTTCTCATTGATGATACTCCGAAAGCCAAAGCTAAGAAGAAGGAAGCAGCAAGAGGTATTATGATTAATCGTTATTATGTTATTTAGATGCAATTTCTATCATTTGAAAGATTTGTGAAACTTATCAAAGGAGTAAAAAATAAAATATTTAGTTAACTCCAGATTTCATCACAATACATTGCAAAAATATTTTCATTATTTTGTGCTATGCGTTTCGTTAAGGATAGATTCTGATAGTCAGAATTTTCCAGAATGGATTCATGTGTAGTTTTGTCCTATATAGTATTTTTTTCTTAATTTGATGTTGTTTCATTTTCTTGTATAATTTTGCATGATGGTCACATATTGTGTGTATTTCTAGCTAAATCATGTCTGTTTGAAATCAACCGATCTTCAAGTAGTTAAATTTCGTGAAGTACTTAAAAATGTGTGAGCACTTCTCATTGTCAATCATCCAACTAGTGGAAACCTTTAATTTTTGTTGTGTGAATTATGTAGAGAAATGTGTGTAAATGGAAGATTGGTAAAGTTGTTTCATTATTTGGACATACCCAATAGTGCATTATTTTTATATGCATTTTGGTTTGTATTGTATTTTTTCCATTCCTTGGAGAGGTCTGAGCTTCCGTTCTTGATTGAAAATTACTCTTAGTTTACATTTTAATCAAAGGTATATTTTATTGTTTTGTGTGTATTTATTTTGTTTTTTCAGTTGTGTAGAATCAAATCTTATAAATTTTGCACCACTATTGCTTATTTTCTCTTTATTTTTTGTCCATTTATTCTTTTCTTTAAATTTATTTGTTGTCAAAAAATAGTAAAACTCTCTGGCATATGGGGTAGGTGTACAAAGCATGCATGCTTTTGATCCTGTTTGTACAAATTTTAAAGTTTTTGTTATGTTATTTTCAAAGAAATAAGAATTATGAAATGTATTCAGAAATGTGGATTAAGTAGTATGGATGTGCTGCTAAAAATTTTATTAGATACTCTTATAATTTCAAAAAAGTCTATATTTGAAGATCAATTCAACAATGATAAACTTTTGCAGATTAATCTTGGTATCAGAATACACATTTGTCTGCCTTTTCAGTTCCCAAACGAGGTGTTAGGTGTGAATTGTGCTTCTTCCCTGTAAAAGAGAGAAATTGCGTCACCACCCATCCTGGGTTAAGCGATAGCCGGCTAGTATGCATGTTAACTGGCAATGGTTAAGCAATGCCCCCCACATGTATTTCCTATTCAATTGCAGTGTGTGTCTTTCTTGAGTATAGTTTCTGAATACACTTTGTCCATGATATGATCCCTCTTTTCACACAATTGAAATATTTGCGGTTTCAACACCATTTGTAGGCAAAAATTGCCCAGTCTGAAGTAGCTTCCAATCACTATTGACTAATTTTTATAAACAAAAATAATAAAATTATTTCACAAGAAACCTTTCATTATTTGTAAAGCACTTAACAAGAGGATGTTTACAGGCAAAACAGAGCATAAGTCAGAATGTAGTATAGATTCTAAACTTATTTCTTGTATATAAACAATTATATTTTAGTAAAAATATATATTACAAGTTAATACAATATAAAGATAAGTTATTGTATTCAGTTATTTAATGGATAAATGAAACAAACGTTGCATTACATATTTTAAAAATAACTGAGTAAGTATATTCTTAAAACGTGTTTTGTTATAATACAAAGAGACCACTTATGCACAGTAATACACGGGAACAATTAAAACTAACCAAGACCTTAAACACCAGGTTGTGGATTTAAATCTGATACAAATATAAGAAATCATTAATTATATTTTCTAGAATCTCTATTCTGGAATTCCTACTCTGTTCTTACTATACAGAGTTAATATATGAATAATGGTACCAACAAGTACAGTTCCAAGCATTTTAAAACTATACATTTTCACTCCCAAATAATAATGTTTTTGCATCAGCAAAATATCTACAGAATCGATTTTATAGGCTCATAAAGCACATGCACACACACTGACCCTACTCCTCCTGCAAATGGAAAAGCAGAGGTTAGTAAAATAAGCACCCAGTGAAACTACATATTATCTTGTAACAGACTATCTTAGATTCAGTTGGTATTCCTGGCCTTTAGGTTTTTTGTACTTTAAAAATAGTTTATCTAGCAATGAATTGCAAGTTCTTATGTATGTTGTCTTACATCGAACAATTAATTGCAGTTGTTTCTAGACGTTATTTGACAGTATTCTATTGTATAATGATAGAGATGAAACAGATTATCACTGTGGATTATTGAGTGGATAGAATTGATGAATTAATCTTGAAAGATCCTTTACTTACAGAACAGTTAGTTGTTTTGGACAATATAAAACTGGGTCCTAAACGCTAGCTTTCTGCCTGAAGTCAATTACTTCTTCACTATTATTCTCTTATGTCTAGTAATCTTTTCTCTGAATGATAAAAAGTAAATATCTGAGGTGAAATAGGCTTAATTAGTTTTTCAGTCTGAAAATGTTTTATCATTTATTGATTATTCAAAAATATAATTCTTTCTATGAGTTTCAATCATACGTTTGTTTAAAATAATAATCAGAATGAGACCCCACCATCCTGCTGGAGGTCATCATGACTCAAAGGAACAATTTGCTAGGACTTTGCAGATACTATACCTGCATTGCAAGGCTTGTAGTGTATGCTGGAAAAGAATTAAGATTTGTAATTAATTTTGTATTTTTCAACGTTTAGGTATTTTTCTTTCTTTTAACATTTTACTAAATAAGGTTATTGAATTGTAATTATTTTTAAAACCTTTTTTATGATTTGCAATAACATTAAGATTCTCCATGAATTTTTAGGAAAGGTTTGGATTCACATGGCATTATTATTGAATAAATTAGTAATTATAAGTGGAAGTAGCATATCCGTGCAAAATTTTTGTAATCCATATGTTCAGTGTATTAATTACATTTTTGTACATACATTAAGTGAATAGACACAAATTTTAAATGACAATATTTCAATATACATGCAATATATAGTGGAGAAGAACTATCAATGATGTGCATGTATTGTTTTTTTGTTATTATTACCTCATGAACCCTTTAATTTCACTAAAATATTACAGTTATTGTGGTCGTCATGTTTTGTCTCTTATAAATGCATAGTTCTGTTACGTCTGAGTTTTTTCTGTTGGTAGCTGTTTACTTAGGTATTTTGCTAATTTTTCAGGTGCTGCTCGTGGAAGAGGACGTGGTCGTGCACGAGGAAGGGGACGAGGCAGAGGACGTGGTAGACGTTAATACCTGTATGCGTGTGCATTACAAGATGCCAATTGGGAGTTTTTTATTAAACTTTTATATAATGTGTTTTTCAAAAGAATTTCTTTTTGCAATAGAAGTGATATTGAGGGTCAGTTTTTAAAAGTGGAGTGCATTTCAAACAAGTATTATTTGGGAATGGTGAAATTGACATGCAATTAGGCATTTGCATTTTTTATCAATTACAGTTAAGAAACCACACAGAAATTTTCTGTGCTATGCAGAGCCAGCAAAAGGACTTTCTGTGGCACCCTGCAAAGTGTGAATACAGACCTATTTATCTCCAGAAATAATTTTTGTTTCAGTGTACAAATATTTTATATCAGAAAGGTTCATCATTCATAAGAAGTATGTATGACTAAAGGTCATCAAATTCCCATTTTGTTTTCTTTACCATAATTGGTTATAAACTTAATTTTAGAAATATTTGAATCGGAACAAGTTTCAATACCTACTGTAATTTTCTTGTTACAGCACTTGTACATAAGAGTATTCATTTGACAGGGCCATAATGAAAGTTTCAGCATTAGTTTAAACCACTGGTTTGTGAAAGTTTATGAAAATTAATACTGAACTGATGGGCCATCTGTGTCCAATAACCTTATTTAAAGGAATTACAATTTTTCAGAAAGAGATTGAAAACCAAATGTTTAGTAGAAGAGATACAGTATCAAAGGAGATGTAAAGAGTGTTTACAGAGAGTGAATAATAACAGATTTCCAAAATTAATCTGGAAGTAGAAACCAATAGGGATCAGAGGAAGGAAGACCACTGAGGAGGTGGCAACAGCAGGGACACTAGGAAGACAAAATCTACCAAGAGTACTGTAATAAACCAATAGAAACTGGCTGTAAAGTCTAATTTCTGGTCAGCTCTTGATGATGATGAAACATTTTCCAGAACCCCTGATAAGGTCTCCAGGAGCTGCATTTGTTGCTGTAATCTTCATGTCCTGGTGGCATATTTCTGTTTTTATGCTATAAACCTCTTTGAGTTATGAATATTGAAAAAAAAAAAGCTGTATGGTAACATATGAAAGTGTTCAGATTTTCGTGCAATCCTGGGAACGTGGCCTCAACGTCTAAAATTACCTAATGATCAAACTTGTCTTTCTGTTACAACTGTGTGAAAGTTTCTAAGGATTTGTATGATCTGAATGTTTGTGTGTCACTCTATTATTTGTATTAATTGTGATATAGCTTACTAAATAGAAAAAATTTTAATTAATTCTTTACATGTACCATATTCCTAGTTCCAAAATAGGATTTTCTTCTTTAGTTGTTTTAGTCTTAAAATGGCATGAATCACTGGTTTCTTAGTCAAAATTCATGCATGGTGGTAAAAGAAAGCAAGTACAGTCGACGCCAGTTATAGGTAACTTCTGGGAACTACCATTTTTTGTTAACTATATCCGAGATCGTCAAATTAAATTTTTTCCACAACGATTTTATTGATATAGATATACTGCAAAATACATTTGCAACACAAATTGAACATCTCATTTGCATTTTTTTTCTTAAAACATCAATTGTTTTCAATTCTTGCTGCAAACTTTTTTCATTAGTTATTTGTCTAGATCCTTCTTCAGAATTTGTGCACTCTCCATAGTTGATTCTGCATTGCCCACTATCTCTTAGTATCATATTGTAGTCATCGCAGTAGTTGTCACTGATCAGCGTCATCTCATTCAAATTTTCTGTGTTTGACACGTGTTCTCATCTAAGACAATCAACACTATCCTAGTTTTTAATAAATTACTTACAGTTGACTTGCTTATTTCCAAGCTCTTTACACCTCATATGTGAACTGACTGTACCCTGTTCTGTTCAGAGGCCCTTTTACATGCTCTTAATAACATATGAAGTCCTTTTGGTAGTGGCATGGTGAAAGAGGTAAATGAAACTCATTGTTTTTCCGTGTGGTGTGGTGGGTGTCCTTAGGCTGAGGCAGTTGCACGCTTCCTGTCACCTACAGAGAAGACAGCATGCTTTTTTGATCAGAATCTCAAGTAATATAGTTTGAAATTGAAGCTAGCAGGTGATTATTATTATTAATTTTTTTTCTTCCAGGAGGGAATTAATTTTCAGGACATTTCATTTCCTACATTCACTGCAGCTGAGGTTCGGAGTTCACTATAAACAAATCTTCTTGTACTTATTTGTAATGTAGAGTGAAATAAGTGGATGCGCAATGGCTTCTGTGTATGACGTCACTATTGAGACCAACTCGCCATCCTGCCCATACAGCTGCTTGAAGGCAACATCAAATACCACTAAATTTTCTAATATACCGAATAAATAATAAATATACCGAATTTTCTTATATACCATAATAAAGAATGACAATAATATCTGGAATCAATTATGTTGAATCCTAATAGATACGAGTAAAGTGGCTCCATACATAGCTTGCTGACTTCGCAATGAGGAGGTCAGCTAACTAGCGTAACCTTCGGTTGTGCATTCCGAAGTGGGTTCCCATGGGCATGATACAGGAACATCTAATGTCATTTCAGTATTCTGTCATGCTGTACCACATTCAGGGCTACTTCCAAACTGGGAGGTAACCCGTTAAATAAGTACGATATAAGATATATGTTAACATCTTAGTCAACAGCCTGAAGACATGAACTGTTCAATGTAATATTTCTAACATTTCTGCTCACTATAGCAAGACTTAAGTGACTTTTGAATTTAACAGGTAGATGACGATGATCATATGTTCGTCCTGTTACTTTTACTTTTATCTGAGAAAACAATTTTTCTAGGCAGTCGTGATTGAATTGAGATGTAATTGTTTTTAAGTTCTTTGCTACAAGAAATCAGAATTGAAATTATGAATCTTTTTTAGAATGAATGTAAAGTGTTCCTTTTACCAAACCAGTCTCACAAACTGCACAAAATATTAATAATTCATGTGCTTGCATTTACATTCCAAAAGTATTAGCAATAGGACGATAGATTTCAGAGCTCTTGAATTCATTACATCAAAAACAATTTATTAACCTAATAATATTTGGTATTTCTTATGCACGAGGTAAGATGATTTTTACAGTTGTTAAACAAGATTAACTTTTTGACAATCCCTCCCAAATATGTTGATATGAGCAGGTGTCAATTTTGGGCAACATTTAATTTCCCTTTAGTTCAAATTGTAAATCTCGCGGGCAGTAGTCTTTCTAAAATGGAAAATGATGTACATTAAATGATGCATTTACAAACTGTTTTCTTCTCAGAATATTCTTGTGGAATGAATGATACACTACAATAAATCCTTTAGATTTTTCACAAACTGCCATTGGACAACGTGGCATGTTCATAGAATATGGTAAAATTATTTCCTTAACCGTACCAAACCTCGCCTCAAGTTGTAAACACACTCCAAAACACCGTCTGGCACTCTAAAAAACAAAAATTTAAGTTAATGTTGTATAATCTAAATTCCAATAATGTATATTTCCGGCCTTACCAATACTTCACAAGAGGCGACAAAGCTAAAAACAAAAAATATGCCTCCATATTTCACATGACAAATTGCTTGAACTTCGTCAGCTGTGACATCATGCGTAGGACTACCAAAATATATTCCACTGCACAACCGCATTTGCACCCTCTGATAATTGGCTGTATATCCCATTACCAGACTTGATCTGATTATCTGAAGTGCATTAATTAGTTCAAATTCATTTGTTTCAACCTTTTGTAGCAAATGACTAATGCTTCATTCATAAAGCATTTATACAAAGGAGATTGCATAAATGATATGACGATGGTTGTAAAAACTTATGTATCAAAGAAAACAGAAATCATAGACAAACTGAATAGTATGACGTAGGAATGATCAAGTATTCAACCAAATTAAAAAATGCCTTACACGACTGGTGGTAAGTATGGCACTGCTCTGCAGATTACATATAATCAAAAGTAATTTGAAGGAGTTTCATAATTATGAATAATATAATATCGGTATTTGAATGTCACATTAAGAGTTTTTTTAATTTAATGCAACCCCTTACTTACAATTTGTAAGTTTTCTCTAGGTGTTATAATATTTTGTCAAAATTGGCTTGTCTATTTACAAAAGGTTGAAATGGTCATCCGTTCCCCAAGGCCTTGATTAGGGAAATCCTCTGCTCTGGTAGATGCCACCTGTAGATCACGTTTTTTTAACTGTACTTATTATAGATATTTTTTTCCTCTTAAAATTTCCTTATCTACATTTTGATTGACTCATGACATTTTTAAATAAGATAATTATTTTTTTCATTTTATTTTTGTGCCTATTGCATGAAAAAATGTTTAAGCATTAGTAAATATTCAATTTTCTATCAGTTATTACATGTAATAGTCACTTACATGTCATCACAAGTCAATCATCAGTTATCAAAATCTGACCATTTCGAAGTATTTCAGGTTACATTTCAAAAAATTAATTTATTGTTTTACGCTTGCGGGTAACAGGAAAATACTCATTTAAATAACTTGTCATTGTTTTTAATGCTACATTGTGAGTAATTGCAAGACTTGTCCATGATTATCTAAATTCAGAAAACTATTCAAATCATTGGAATGAATAGTGTATTGCTACAAATTATATTTGCAAAGGATTCCAATCTACCATGTAACATAGTCTGAAAGTACAAGTGAAGAATAGCACTTGTCGAACACTTGAGCTTCCCAAGTAACAATGTTGTTGCGACAAATGTAACTACTCGTCAAGGAAAAAAATTTAATCGCCCTCAAAATTCTTTTGCAATTTTTGAACAACATCCCGTAAACTTGGTCATTTCAGTTAAGAGTTTAGAAACCCCAATACAATGATTCCATTAATATAATATATTGGACATTAATTTTGTTGGGTATCTTTGCAAAACATTCTATGATTTCATATATATGTGCCATCAAATATTGTATTCGAATTTTACAAAGTGACATTTCATAGCTGAAAAAAAAAATGTAAGAGCAGGAAACCATCTACCATCTGGAAAGTGTCATTTTAAAGTGTGACCTGATTCAAACTTACTCTGCGGCATGCAAACCTTATTCTTCCAAAGGCAGTGGTTTCCAGTGCAGGTGGTTTTGAGGACCATTTAATTGAAAGGCTCAGTAGAAAAAGGAGCTATCCTACATTGGACAAGTATTGATATATTTAGGGTTTTACTGGAACTTTTCGAAAATAACACACCAACCCCACATTAAGAAAATCATGCTAGGATCCTTTTTTCCATACACAAAGACACCTTTTTACAAATGATGTGGACATTGTATTAAAAATAATTTTTTGGTTTTATTGAATTTTCCCATTCCATAAATATTTTCGATACTATTCTCAAAGGATGCATCTGATTTCAGGTAATCGTTGCTAGTGTTTATTGAAACTGTCTTTCTCGTTTTTGTTCTTCGATTTTGCGTAATTCATCTTCACATAGAAAATAAGTGTTCTGGGACCAATTCAAACAAAAAAATTTTCAGCATAGGTTTCCATAAATTATTTCCATCCTGTATTAATCACTTAAAACATAATTTTTTTTATTTTGAAGAGGTCTTCATAAACAGCTGCCTATTTCATATGAAATAATAATAATAAAAATATAATACCTTTTCATAATGAAATCTGTTCTTTAAAGATAGATTTTGAAATAAGTTAATTTACAATTTTTCGAAAAGTTCTTTTTGTGTAATTTTGCTTGATATCTAGGTAATTTGTAATGTTTAAACAGTGTTTTTCTAAAAAAGGCACCGACAATTTTGATGAAATGTTGACCTCCGATGGCGCATAGGACGATTAACAGAATGGTGCTGGTTTTCGTAATAAAATGTGTTTATCAAAAACATCTTTAAATACGGTTATGTTGATTTTTTCGAAAATATGAATATTTTGTGTGAAATATGGCGTCAAATATAGTTGCCAGCTTCAAATTTCCTGAGCTTAGTGAACGTAAAATGAATGGTGATTTCAGGCAGTTGGATGCTACGTATGTTAGAATTTGTATATTTCATATTTCTTTGTTCATTTCTTAAATTTGAGTTTTTGTTAAACGTTGACAAATTATTAAAAATCTATTTGATAATCCATATTTTGAGTCCGTGTTGTGCGGAATGTATTCTCAATATTTTGATGTGTTTCCGTTGAAGAAATCTGCAAACCTGAATTAATATTAGCTCAATTAGGTTTTTTCTCTTAAAAATACGACATAAATGTAATACGAAAGAAAAAATCTTACTCTTCCGGGAATATCACATTGGAGGAATGCAACAATGGCATTCCGCGCCGAGAGAAGGCAGCTGAAGTTCAGTGAATTACTCACATAAGGTGAATGTGAAGGTAATTTGACCACGTTAAGCGCCTCAGAGTTTTGCTGTTTATGTATTTCAACATTTGGCCGAAATAACAGCATAATGAAATTTAACACTTTTGCTTCAAGTTTAAATAGCTGTATCACATAAAAGTTATTCAGGAATATTTTGTTGTTTTAAAAAAATATTGTAATTTGAAGGTAATATGCACACATGCAGGTTTTATGGCCATTGCCAGATTTAATTGGTTTCTTGTAGCATGGTCATGGAATTAAGACTAACTGTACTAATACATACATGAATTCCCCTTCTTATTATTATTAACTTTATGGGCCACATTGGACCACTTGAGTCGTTCCACTTCACTTGTTCATGGTCGACTGTCGAAGGTGTCACCTTGAGGTGAGGATAAATCCTCGAGTTACAATTCTAAATGTTATTCAGAAAGGTGATAATGAGAGATGGAGGA